TAGCGTTTAGAGGATTATATTTTACCCTAAAACTCAAAATCATCAAATTTTAGGAGTGGGAAAGGAATATTTATAAATTTAACACAGTATCTTTGGAAGGTCCCCTAAGATGTCCATCAATGAATGAACAAGGTGACATGGAGACAGTAAGACATACTTTTCACTGAATATCATTTTGTATCTTTTGAAATTTGGGCCATACGCTATTAAAAAATATATATGTCATTTTATTAATTCGTTATAAATCACTAAGGGAATCCAAAGAAGCCCCCATTTTCCAAAGGAGAAAACTGAAGCCAAAAAAGTAGATGAGCTGCTCAAGATCACACTGCCAGAGAGTGAAAAAGCTGGGACTAGAACTCAGGAACGCAGTGGAAGTTTCCAGCGCCTCCCACAATGCCATGTGGTAAAAAAGCAAATGCCATCTTATAAACAATAAAAGTATTACTATAATCCTCTTCAGAACCGTGGTCTTCCAGAGGTTCTGTGACTCATATGACACAGTACTCATCATTTATGTTTTCCCAGAAGTTCTAAGGCAGAGAGACAGAGATGGCAACCCTCATTATCAAGCCCTCATGGCAGGGATTAAAGTGGGTAAATAAAGACATCACATCGATCAGCATGTGGACAGGGCGTCTTCTCTCAGGCATACGTGGATCTAAGCCTTAACTGGGCCAGGAACATTTTGCAGCCTTCATTATTACTGACAGTAAGGATGTATGAGGAGGCAGAATAAATTTAGTAGAACAAAGAGCTTATTTCTAGTGAATTGATTCGGAGGAAATAAAGCAAATAAAGCACAAGCAGAGCATAGGAAATTCTAGTTTGAAAGAAGCCAATTCTACTATTCTCAAACAGGAGAATGAAGGGAATTATCAAGGCCCCTTCTAGTCCTAAAATTCTCAAAAATGGAGAAGCAAAACAACTTCAACTCTGCCTCTGAGTAATTCAAGCATACTTTCCCCCTTAGTAAGAACAAACGTTAGCATTTTCTTTCAATGGGCACAGATGCAGGGAAGACGGCAGAGTTTCCATAGGAAAGAACAAGCAAAGTCAGAAATAAAAACTATTCCAAAAAATGTCTGAGTCTGTCAGAAAGAAGAAAGTTTACTGCAGAGGATTATCCTCTCCTTTCCAGGTCTGTACGTAGCTTTCACATTTGGAAAAATACGTGCATGTTTGATGTTATTAGGAGCTTTCAATATCTGCCAAACATACTGCAGTCATGGATTAGTTACTCTGAATATATTTAAGCACCGGGTAAGTCTCTATTTGCCAACAATTAGTTGATCTGATGAAACATTCAAAAAAGAGAGGGACACCTGGATGGTGCAGAAGGTTAAGTGGCTGACCCTTGGTTTTGACTCCGACCATGTTGTCAGGGTCCTGGGGATCCAGGTCAGCAGGCAGTCTGCTTCAGGATTCTCTCCCTCTGCCCCTCCGCCTGCTCGCTTGCGTTCACGGGCACACACACTCTCTAAAATAAATAAATAAATCCTCAAAAAAGAGAGAACGTCAGAGACGGTAACAAGCCTGGACAATACATAACCTCCAGCTATTAAAACTGCTCATATTTCTAAAGAGAAAACATAGATAAACCACAGACTAGGACTTCCTTAGTCAACTGGGTCACAAGGTCACATCACACCGAGAAATCTCTCACCATACCTTCAACTCTATCAGGGACAAAAAGCCAGAGAAAGCTCAAGGTAGGGAATCTATAATATAAAATACCTAGCTTCAACAAAGGTCCTGAGAGTGATGTTTCAAATTCCAATTTTCACTAGATATTTCAGAAATAGGAAAAATATTTGAAGTTTGTTAGTAATTTTTCCACTTCATTGAAAAGAAATCTGCCTCATGGTAAACAGTCAAAGGAAACATGGTAAAATTCAAAGGAAAAAAAATCACAGGAAACTTAAAAGTCAGATGTTATACTTCACATCGAAAGGTATTAATACCAAAAACTCTATCGATGTATTTCATCAAAAACATTAAGCATACAACCTGAAGCCAAAATAGGAGACATTCCACTCTTTCTTAGCAACAGAGTTAAAACAGTGATACAAACTGCACTTAATATTACCTAGGGCAGGAGAAACATTTGGTGACTCACACTCTCCTTTGATGTCAGTTTTTAAATTAAAGGGCAGTTTTCTTTGGGAAGAAAGAGGGGAAAACTTTAAAATTATCCCTTTAAACTTCAGGTCCAATAAATTAAAAACCACTTTGCCTCCTGGTCTCAGTTTCAAAGTCAATCCCCCTCCCCCCAAAATCATGAGTCATATATCCAAAATCTGGTACCCAAGAAATTTATTGCCATAAATTCATTCAATTAAGTTATTGAATGCCCACACTGAACATATACCATCCGAATTCAACGAAGACGTTGAATTTTAACTTTACATCCTCCTGGCACTTCCACAGTTATACCGGTAAACGTGGGTTATTTTTCTCTCAACTTGAAAAAAAGAAAGTGCAGTGAACAAATCTCTCAGATCGCAGCTATCACGTAAGTAAAATCTGACGAAAGGAGAAAATAGGTGTTCTCCATGCCCAACACCTCCTTGTGACGTTTTTAAATGGTTTAGAATTGTTTAAATATCTACTAATCTAAATAGACTCCTTACAGGCTACATCTTTATTTGCCACGGTAATGGAATAAAAAGCGGGGAATACTGTTGGCGTGTATGACTTCAATCCTCAGCGCCAAAGTCTGAAGCCAATGATTTCACGCCGCTCCCCCTTAACTTTTCATTAACCTAGCTAACAAGAAATTGACAGACTGAGATTTCGGATTGTTTTATTTCCCAGGCTCTCCCTCTGGCGGAGGCAGGAAAGAGAAGCGCAAACAAGGGGTATGGTACATTGCAAGTAAGACGAACAATACTAAATAAAGAGAATTACTATAAAGGAGATAGAAGCAAAAGATTAGTTTTGCACTTTCGGCCCTCGGACTCCGTTCCAGAATTCAGCACCGCCTGCCAAAAGCAATGGCATTAGAGCAAATGATTAAATATCACCCCGAACCTTACGCTTCGACACCCCCGGGAGAGACTTCATCCACCACAGTTATGACACTGCCGGGCGGTGCGTGAGGAGCAGGACTAACACACTGTGAGTAAGCGAGGCCCACAGAGAGCAACACGAGCTCGTAACGAAAACCCCAAGAGTTTCCCAAGCAAGGACCTGAACACAAAGTCCTTGCTCTCGGTGAACGCGGCAGAGCCGCTGCCTTCTACCGCTCACCGGTAAAAAGGGGATCCTCCACCGCGGAGTGGGGGACAGAAGACTCGCCTCCTGCCGCCAAATCCGTCCCTCCCGACCCGAGCCCACCGCCCTCCGCTCCCGGAGGACCGCCACGGTCTCACTCCGTCCTTCCGCCCCGCTCGAAACGAGACCAGCCACCACCCCTCTCGGACCTGTCCTCGCAGTGTCCAAGCCGGCAGCGCGACGCCTCCATCCCCGCGGCTTAGGAAGTGGCAACCAAGTTCAGGAGCCCCGACGCCGCCGCTAGGGTGGCAAGTCTGGCAAGCAGCCGGGCACCGGCCGCTAGCAACCGCACCCTGCACTGTTGCCACCGCCTATTGGTCCTCGTGCCCGCCGCTCGTCTCTCATTGGCTATTGCTGCTGCCCGGCGATGCGGGAGGGTTTCTAGGGGGCGGAGGCACCGGCAGTTAAAGGCGCTGGGAAGTCCGTTAGTCAGAGTAACGGCCCATCCCCCTAACCGCCACCCACGGAGCGGCCTCCCTCGCGTCCCCACCGTTTGTACCCAGAGACCACCCAGAGCGCTTTCCAGAGGTCTGTAATGTTAGGACTCACTCACAGACCTCTGCTGGCTCCCTCATAGTCCAACACCAGAGCCTTCGGGGACGCACCCTGTACCCTCTCCAGCAGTCATTAGCCGTTAAATGCATCTTTCGTAGTTATCTGGTCTCGCATTCCAACTGCACAAAACTCCTTCAGCCTCCCCTACTCCAGCCCAAGCTTTTTAGAGCATTGCTAGACCAATTCTACAGACTTTATTTCCCATTTACCTCTCTACGGGCCTATGGACGATCTTCAAACATCCATATCCCATGAAATTTGCCATCTAAATAATATACTCTCGTTTCCAATAGATCTTGTCTCCACTTCCTTTCCTACCACCAATTTACACATATCATTGTAACCCCTACAAAACATCCTGGCAAAAGTTATCGCATGTTGTGTTTATAGCATTCAGAGGTCAGCTGTTTCCACGTTGGGTTTGCCTTTCTAAGAGGCACAGGAGTTGGCACAAGCTAGGAGAGCAGAGCATCGCCTTGATGTGTCAGCCTCCACTCCTTGTGTGACCCTAAACACAGTCCTTTATCTAGGCTTCAGATTCCCATCTATGAAATAAACAGAATACTCCCTGCTTGTTTAGCTCTGGCTAGACGGGACACAGAGTAGGTTCTTAAAACTGAATGGATACAGTTGAAAGAGATGCTATCTGTATTGGTGAAAGGGCAAAGGAGAGTTTTTGCCTGGGCAGTGCTGCTCTAGTTACAGCAAGTAGTCTTCTCTGAAAAGTTCCCATATTTAATTACATACATTTCAAGAAATCATTTTCCCACCCTATTTGACATTTACAGACTTCTTTGAATGGAAATAAAAAACCAAAACACAGCAAACCTAAGTAACTTATCTGTGTCCCCTTTATCGCCCCTGACCCCACTGTATTCAGTAAAACAGGGCTTGCTGCCTTTCCTCACCTTGGCCTTTTAGCAGATGAGCAAGGCTGTAGAGGCAGCAGCTCAGCTACAAAGTCACAGAGTTTGGGGCGCCTGGGTGGCTCAGATGGTTAGGCATCTGCCTTCAGCTCAGGTCATGATCCCAGGGTTCTGGGATCGAGCCCCACATCGGGCTTCCTGCTCGGCGGAAAGCCTGCTTTTCCCTCTCCCACTCCCCCTGCTTGTGTTCCTGCTCTATCTCTCTTTCTCTGACAAATAAATAAATAAAATCTTAAAAAAAAGTCATAGAGTTTGCTTTTATTTTTCCTGTCCATCATGTCATAAAGGAAGCTGCTGCTGAGCCTGACACAGAGTTGGTACTCAAAAGTGTGGAATGAATTAGTTTGGATGAGGTGATTAAAGGATTAATTAGTAGTTTTTAAAAAACAACGAAGAAAGACCTTTTGTGGAGAAGGCAATATTGCTGCGTGATCGGTAATCAGAAGCAGGGTTCTCTAAAACCTTTCTGCAACCATTTATTTACATACATTTTAAAAGTTACTATAAGATACTTTAAAATTTTAGACAGTTAATGTTAAGAAAAATATGAACTGTTTATGACAATAAAAATTTTTTAGGAAAAGACATCTTAAAAAGCAAATCTGGGAACTGAATTCCCTTATGACTCCAAGGTTCTAGTTAAAACATCTTTTTTTCTATTGAGGTTATTGGTATTATTTCCATTTTATTCTCCTGATGTACTCTCCTGTGAGCCAGAAAAGTACTTTAGCAACTTTATGAAAATTTCTTGAGGCTGCTGGTGTCGGAGAAATCCAGTGAGTTTTTCACAAGGAACTGGTTTTTGTTCAGCTTCCCTCTCTCCCTGAGGTAAGTAAACAAGTGGCATCGTTTCCTCCATGTGACCTTGATCCCATACTTCTCCTCGGGAGTGTCTTCAACTAGAACAGGCCCAGGCTCTGGGCTCTTGGGAGTACTAGCGTGGAAGGAGCAGCTCGGAAGGCTACTTTCCCTCTGATCTGGGGGAATGGGCCCCTCCTTCACAAACGATGACTCTGGGGTCTGGATATCAGGGGGAATGAATACATAAGGTAAGTTTTGAAGCGTATGTACTGACACTTCCCCACAGCTTTGAGGACTGAGCATCGGAACTAAGGGCCTTCCGGAAATGCGCTTTTCTGATTGACCGGGGCATTCCCTGCTTAAGGGGATCCCAAGTGTGGCTGAACAGGAGGAAGACAGTGGACTGTCAAATGTTAGATGTGGGAACTTGGAGGCGGTAGATTTTCGACTTGCATGTCTTGCCTGGTTTCGATGATGACATTTCTGGTTCACAGGGAACGAGCTTTCTGCTGTCATATCAAACTGAGGTGATACCTTAAGGATCAAAAACCAAAAAGAAGTGAGGAGAGCCACCTACCAAGTATGAACGAACCTGAGGGAGGAAACTATATCCAAGGACCAGAATTCTAAATGGGGGCCCACTATGGTAATGGACACGAAACAAAATATTTGTCTAATGGGATATTAAAAGAAAGGGATATGAGCTTTGGGCAATTAATTCGATCTTTCTGGCTTTCCATTTCCTTGTGTGTAAGAAAGGGGACAATGCCTCCTTCACTTTATCACACCATACAGCTGCAACTTGTTTAACTATCTTTAAACTTTGAGGGCAAACACCAGCAGTCTTCCTCACCTTTGATGCCCAGCACCTAGCAAAGTGCCTGGCACGAAGAAGGCCCCCAGTAGAGTGAATGCTGAGTGCAAGAATAGGGAGTGAGATCATGTATGGAAAGCAACTAGCATAAGACCTGACACATGATGAGTCCTCAATAAGTGTTCATTCCTCTTCTCATCCATGGGATTCTAACATTTCAGTTTCTTCTACAATCCCAAAGCAAGTATCATGGTTCTTCCAAGCAATCCTGAACAAGCTATATTTATTAAGCACTCTTAATAAAGTGAAGTTTATGCTTTTGTCTGGCCCTCTGGCTATACCATTTTCCTGACAGTAGCTATATTCTCTTTCTAGGGCCTTGAAACTGTCAAAATACGACATGCCATTTCTGTTGGGTTTTTTCCAGGTTCACTCTATTAAACTATAAATATAGTACCGAGCTAAATAGTTTACCTCTCAAGTGACGCTTGGGGAACAATCTCATTTTTTATTCATTCGGCCATTTATCTGGCTTCTTCACTGGGCTACCGAGTAATGAAACTTTTATACTGAACTCTTTAAGAAGAATGTGGGGAGAAAGACTCCAACTCCAACCAGCCCCTGCCTCAGCTTGAACTTAGAAAAGAAGACATCCCCAAGAAGATGGCTGATGACAGAAATACATTGCCTCTTGTCCCTGCCCCCATGAATCTTTGGAGGCCCTGGTTTAAGGGGCAGAAGAGGCAGCATTCTGCAAAGCCTAACAGAGCAAAAGTCAAAGTAAGAATACCATGGCCTACCCAGGAAGTGGCGGTGTTATGGTCAATGGGCTTGCTGGGCACCTGTCTAGTGTGGGTGATGGTAAGCTGGGGAGAGCCATAATGGTGTTTGGGGCCCTCCAGTGGTGGTTCTTGGAATAGCAGCTGGGCTTTCTGGGAAGGCTGGCGGCGTTTTTTTCTGGGAGGCATCAATAGGTGAATGAAGAGCAGTTAAAATTAGTAACCACATGATGCTGGTTGTTGTCAGGTCGGGGTTCAGGCTCCGATTCCAACCCATGCCTGCAGAGAAAAAAACAAAAGCTGGGAGACAATTCTGATGATTCCGTCCCCAGCTCTTGCTCATCCTCTGCCAACCAGTTCTACTACCAACTATCACCCCTACCTCCACACTGTGGGGGGTACAGCTTCTATCCCTGCACCACCAAGTAAATACACAGTAGTTCCCGGTCAACAGCATTCATTCAATGCACACTGATCGAGCACGTGTTGAGTGCCGTGCTGGGTGTTGGGAATTTAAAGATGAATAACCATTGATTCTACAATCATTTATCAAGTGCCAAGCGCTTGTAGGGACACATAAGAGAGACTGTCCCTGTCTTCAAAGTGCTGAGAGGCTAGCAGAGGGAGACAGACAATTCCGATAATGGGAAGAATGCTTCCATTCACCTCAGGGGAGGCTTTCTAGAGAGGGTGATACCTGACCTAGTACGGAAGGGATAAGGAAAGCCAGAGAGCAGAGAGAGCAAGGCACTCCAGGCTGAGGAACAGCACATACAGAGGCACGGAGACAAGACTGTGAATTCAAGTATCACAGGCTCCATGGAGCTGGACACAGCGTATGCAAAGACAAATGCAAGACCTCAGAGACTGGACCCGGTGTCAGGGTCAGGTCAGAAAAAGCAGGTGTACCATAGGTGTTTGGACTCTAGCCTAAGTAGTCACTGAAAATTTTCAAGCAGAACGATACGATAACACTTAGTTTTTTTTAACTTTCCCTCCATATAATTTTGAACATACACAAAAGGAGAATGAATAATATGAGCTCCCGTGTACCCATCACCCAGTTCCAACATCAGCCCATAGCCAATCAGGATACATCCACACCCTTTATCCACTTCCCCTACCCCTATATTATTATGAAGAAAAGATGAATATTCCCAGCCATTATACCATCCCCATTAATACAACATATATATATATATATATATATATATATATATATATATGTTCCTTAATATTATCAAATATCCAGGGATGCCTGGGTAGCTCAGAGGGTTAAAGGTCTGCCTTCGGCTCAGGTCATGACCCCAGGGTCCTGGGATCGAGTCCCGAATCAGGCTCTCTGCTCAAAGGGGAGCCTGCTTCTCCCTCTGCCTGTCGCTCCCCCCTGCTTGTGCTCTCTCTTACAAATAAAAAAATATATTATCAAATATCCAGACATGTTCAAATTTTCAATTGTTCCATAAATGTCTTAATTGGTTGTTTTTGTCTTTTAAGACAGATCCTGGCAACAATGTGGAAAGAGAGGGAGTACTCTGGAAATAGAGGGACCAGTTTTAGGAGGTTACTCTGTTACTTAAGTGAGAAGTGATCAGGCCTGAATCTGGGCTGTGTTGGCGGAAATGGGAGGCAAGACACAGAAGCAGGATCAACAGGACCCGGAGTAATAAACAGGCCGACAAAAGTGAAAAAAGTGTCCATTGACTCTAGTAACCAGATCGACTTTAATAAGAGCTTCATCAGTGGAAGGGTGGGATAGAAGCTTGCGTGCAATGGAGAGGTGCACGGGAAGTACAGCTGAGCATCCAGCGAAGTCACACAACAGGGCAGACTGGTTCCACCACATAATTCATGACTCATTTAGTCAACAGTAAAAAGTAACATCCTCTGACTTATGTCACTAGGCAGTGGTGATACAGGTAAAGAAGAAAGAAAGGACAAATCATTTTTAGGGATAACAAAGGTAATACACACAGCTGTTTGTTCGTTCATTCAGCCATTCAACAAATACTGAGTGCCCGCAGTACTAGGCCCTGTTCTTGGTGCTGGAAATATATACCAGAGAACAAAATGAAATCCTTGCGCTCGTGGTGCTTATACCCTAGTTGGGAAGTGACTATGGAGAAAATCCAAACAGGATAAAGGGTTGAGCCAACTCAGTGCTCTTTTAGAGAGGGCTGTCAGGGAAGGTGACTAAAAAAGTGATATTTGAGCAAAGACCTGAAATGAAGAAAGGAGAGCAGATGAGAACCAGTTTATGTGACACAGGGCTTCACAGGCAAGGTTAAGGACTCTGGACTCAACTATTCTTAGTGTGACAGGAAGCCAAGGCAAGGCTCTGGACAGGGAAGTGACATTTCTATAATGAGAACTTTAGGCGCTCTGTGAGAACAGGTGGGTTGGGGACAGCAGGCATGGAGAAAGGAAGCAGGGCACCCAGTTAAAGGGCTGCTGCAGGAATCCAGTGGAGAGATGACAGCAGTAGCAATGCCTCCAGTCAGTGTTGACATTAGCCAGCCTCCAACAGACACGACATTGCTCAGCAGCAATCCTACTATGTTCCCTTCAACTCAATATCCGCAGACTATCTTAAGATGTTTCCACTTTCTTAAAACCTTAGAACTCCCCTTCCCTCTTAACAAATGACCTTATTTCCTACTTCACAGAGAACGCAGGAGACATCAAAGAAAATACGCTCACCTTCCAGATACCAACATACAAACCTATATATATCTGTATCCATTCTCTTTATGCTATAATCGCAGGTCAGTCCCGTTTGCTCTGTAAAACCCTTCCCCCTGACTGTGTTTTGGAGCTTTCCTTGCTTTATACACCTTTCTTAGGCAATGATCAGCTCACACCTACAAGTGGATGACTTAAGTATTTATACGCTCAGCTTAGAATTCTCTACCCTCAGTACCCACATAGCCACTGCCTACTTGACAGCAACTAGATGTCTCAAATGCACCTTGAACTCATTTATTTAAAATTTTCCAGTTGACTCCAAATCTTTTTTTTTCCTTTTTAAGGTTTTATTTATTTATTTATTTATTTGACAGAGTGAGAGAGAGAGAGCGCACACAAGCAGGGGGAGCAGCAGAGGGAGAGGGAGAAGCAGGCTCTCCGCTGAGCAGGGAGCCCAATGTGGGGCTCCATCCCAGGACCCCGGGATCATGACCTGAGCCGAAGGCAGACACTTAACCGACCGAGCCACCCAGGCACCCTCAAACTCAACATATTTAAAACTGAATTCATGATCATCTCCCCTGCACCTGCTCCATAGGTGATTATCTTCTAAGGTCCTTGCTCAGGGTATTATCCTTCATCTAGTTATGCAGCCAGAAACCCTGACATGTCCCACTTCTGTCCCCATCCAACACCACCAAGCCCTGACAATCTTACCTCTTAAGTATGTCTTCAATAATGCCCCTTTGGCCCCTCTCTCCTGGTATCTTTCTCTCCCCACCACCCTTCAAGTTCCAACAGTTCTGGTCTGGAGTATTGCAATAGCCTAAACGGGTCTACCCTAATCCACTCCAGCACCCCCTGCAGAGGAGCCTTTTAAAAATGCAAATCGGATCTTGACTCACTTCTGCTTAAAATTGTTGATTTCTGGATAAGGACCAAACTTCCTCAGTTATGGCTAAGGTCCTATTTCCTCTGGCTCCGGCTTCATCTCACACCACACTCTATTCAGGTCCTCTCAGCTCAGCTCTGACTCCTCAGATGTTCTTCAGCCTTTGCACAGCCCAATCTTCTTCCTCCCACACAGCCTTTGCACACCTTCTTCCTTTTGCTTTGCGGGGTTCACTCCCTTCTTTACACAAAGGCATCAGACCTCAGAACAAGCTTCCTTCCAGAAAAGCCTTTCCTGACCTACCGAAGGCAAGATCTTATCGTAGATACTCAGTTATCAATGACCTCTAATTTATCCCTTCGCAGCTATCTCTCCTTTTGCTTATTCGATTCTTCAAAAATGTCTGTGGTCTCCTCTCTTCCCGTTAGACTGTATACAGAGTAAGGAAAGAACCTCCCCTACCACTGTTATCCTAGCAGGGCCTGGCACATAGTAGGTGCTCAACAAAATGTGCCGACCAAGTTAATAAAGTATTATCATGGCGTGGAATTTTTTTTAAGAGGAAGCTTAAACAGGATGATACGCCGGTCGACTAGTCGAGGCGGCCAGACGATCGTTAGTTGGAGGGGAATGGAGTAGTTTCCCTCAAGTAAGGAAGCCAAGCCAGGGAGGCTTTAGAAAGGCCGGAGGCTGGCGAGGGAGGCGGGAGGAGCGGCGCCGGGGGCGGGCTCAGGGAAGCGACCCGGAACGCGCGAGGGAGCGCAGGCCGGGGACGCCGGCCCCGGGCAGCGCCGTCTCCCCGCCGCCCCGGCCGCCGCCCGCCGCCCGCCGCGGGGGCCCCTCCTGCGCCCTCCGGGCCGCCCACGGCCGCCCCCTCCCCACGAGCCGGCCGCCGGCCCGCCTTACCCGCCCGGCGGCGTCCCGGCCGCCGCTCCCCTGGGCCGCCGCAGCGTTCGAGCCCCGAACGCGGAGACAAGGGCGGCCGCCGATTGGCGACGCTCCGTCACGTGACCGCAACGCTCCGCCGGCGCCAATTTCAAACAGCGGAACAAACTGAAAGCTCCGGTGCCCGACCCCACCCCCGGCCCCCCGGCCCGGGACCCCTCCCCTCCCGGGATCCCCCGGGATTCCCCACCCCTCCCGCACCGCCGGGGACCCGGCCGGCCTGGCGCGAGTCTCTGTCCGGGCCCCTGGCTCGGCCCCCAGGTTGGAGGAGCCCGGAGCCCGCCCTTGGAGCCACAGCCCAGCCTCGGCGGCGGCTGCAGTCGGGAGGTGAGCGGGGGGGCGGAGGAATGGAGTCCGAGCCCCGGCCCGGGCAGAGGCAGGGAGCCCGGGCTCGGGCGCCGAGGTCGGGGGGTCTAGCAGCAGGGCGCGGGACCGGCGTGGAGGTTTGGGGCCACACGGGAACGAGGGCTGGGAGAGGGGGCAAACTTTTTCTGCATCCAGCCAACCTCCTGGCCTTGTCCTCACTTCTTTCTCAAACCACCTCTTGGCCTTCCCTGGAAGTTTGACCTCTGCGCCCTGCCCACAACCTCGGGAGGGCTGCTGGGGTGGCCTACTTTTCTAGACAGACTGTGGCTGGCGTGAAGATTGAGCTTATTCTGCATTAAGTCAAAGACAAACCTGCCCACACCCTCCCCTGCTCCCAAGCGCTCTCACCACTGAGCCGCACTGCCTCCACTCCACCCTCTTCCAGGGCCCTTCTCCTGGTTCCCGAGAACCTGCAAAGTTTCCGTGGTCAGGATGCGCAGTGGCATCAGAGGGGTCACTCTGGACGTCCCCTAGCTTAAAGTGTTGGCCGTGATAGGAAGAGACTGGTCAGAGAGTTGAAAGCAAAATTAAGCCTTAGACCAGGAAGATATCTTTGGGGGATGGGGAAGGAATAATAGTATTTACTCATTGGTGGGGCAGGGGGAGGCTTGAAGAGATAAGAGGTAGAAATGAAACTGAGATTTGAAAGTAGAGGAAACCTAGTTATAAAGGAAAGGGAGGAGGCAGAGTGGAGAGAGCCTATGAACTCTAAGCAGATGGCAAATGTCATCAGACTGTGACAGTCAGTTTTAGGGAGATAGTGGATGTCCTAACACAGACAGCGCATTCTTCTGTCAAAGTACCTTTAAATAGGATTACACAATTTTACATGATGGCAGAGTATCCCGTGTATCTATTAAAATCAACAAACACGAAATTTTTAAAAAAGATGTTATTTATTTGCGAGAGAGAGAGCATGAGAGAGGGGTGAGGGGCAGAGGGAGAAGCAGACTCCCTGCTGAGCAGGGAGCTCAAGGTGGGGCTCAACCCCAGGACCCCAGGATCATGACCTGAGCCGAAGGCAGACGCTTAACCGACTGAGTCACCCAGGCACCCAACAAACACATTTTGTTTTTTTAAAGATAAAACTATTTTCCTTAACATGACAGAACCCCCTTAGCATATTGATGACAGCACGTTCTATTGGTCGGGAGATAGGGATTATAGTCTTGGTTCTGGAAGAGAAATCAAGGACTCGAGTAACATGCTTAGAAAGTTAAAATAGGAAAAAACACACACAAGGACTAGAATGTCGCTATAGAAATATTTTGCAAATTGTGAAAGAAAAGTGTACTCTTTCTTTTACCAGTGCGAGGATAATAGCCTGTGAGATGAATCGCCCCATGGGCCTTGACCAGAGCAGTTTCCGTATTCTCTGAGGTCTTGTGAAGTAGGAGATGATGGCAAGGGAACGATAGTGCAATTTGCCTTTCTCCTCTGATCCCATGGGCACTGATCCTTTTATTTATAGACTAAGATGGTGTAAAAATATACAGGCTTTATCAATCATAAAATAGATTATGGGGTCAGAGTTTTGTCCGGACTCCTCAAATTGCCAAATGTCCTCAATTCCAGCATTCCTGTCCCCAGAGTCACTGCAAGTGATCTGTAGTGTAATAAGCAATAATAGAAATTTCCACATTTTTATAACTGTCCCACTCATTTCTGTAGCCAAACATTCTTAAGCTTCCGGAAGACCTTTGGCCATGTTGACCTACCTTCAACCCAGTCCCGCTTTCTCCTTTTGAAATGCTTCAGTTTTAGCTTTCTTTTGTCATAGAACTCATCCCCTTATTGTCTGAGGTCTTTACAGAGGCCCAGGGATCATTAACCTGGGCCTGTGGGCTCATGCTTTTGGTCATGGAAAGAGGAACGCCTCTCTCTAGCAGTACCTCCTTCTCAGCCTAACAAATCTCTGACATCCTGCTGTTCCTTGCACTTTCCAGGGCCCATGCTTGTGATTCTCAATGGAGAGTGAAAGCACAGATTCATAATGAAAACCAGCCCCCGTCGGCCACTGATTCTCAAAAGACGGAGGCTGCCCCTTCCTATTCAAAATGCCCCAGGTGAAACATCAGGAGAGGAACCTAAGAGGCCCCCTGCCCAACAAGAGCCTGGTCAAGCACAGGCTTCCAAGGAGGCGGCAGAGTCCAACTCTTGCAAGTTTCCAGCTGGGATCAAGATCATTAACCACCCCACCATGCCCAACACCCAAGTGGTGGCCGTCCCTAACAATGCCAATATCCAGAGCATCATCACAGCATTGACCGCCAAAGGAAAAGAGAGTGGCAGCAGTGGGCCCAACAAATTCATCCTCATCAGCTGTGGGGGAGCCCCCACTCACCCTCCAGGACCCCAGCCTCAAGCCCAAACCAGCAATGATCCCAAGAGGACAGAAGTGGTCACCGAGACCCTGGGACCAAAGCCTGCAGCTAGGGATGTCAATCTTCCTAGACCACCTGGAGCCCTTCCCGGGCAGAGATGGGAGAGCTGTGGTATGTGGTCTGCAAGGCAAAGGGGTGAGGAGCCCAGCCTTTCCTCTCTGGTGGCAAGGACTGCAGTCCGTCAGGTTGATACTTAACAGACAGGCCCCTAGCCTGAACCGGGGGAAAGTCTTGTCTTTCTTCATCCCGAATCCTTGACCCAGATTCTTTGGGCGCTGTTTAAAGTGCCCAAATTATAATTTAGCGTTTCTCTTACTTTCTTTAAATTAGGAAAGGATTTGTTTATTTTTGCTAGTTATCTTCCCCATCGACCGTGTAAGGAAATAGGAATCTTTCTGCATTTTAATAAAGGAGAAAACTGAAGCATGAGGAGGAAAAGTGACTTTGTGCAAATACTAACTCTTTGTTAAGGTTGCCTTGACTGATCTCTCCTGAATTTCTCCTGAAATCCTTGATGGGGCAGAGTACCTGAGGGCCACAGTAGATTCAGCATGTGATCCCTGTCCCTACGGGTAGAGGTCTCGGAGAGATGTTCCCCAACCTCTGATTTTGATGGGCCTGCCACATACTGGATCAGGCAGCTAAGTGGCATCTTGGATTGTTTCCCCTCTAGCTGGAGGCGAGGCAGCAGGCTGCACTCTTGACAACAGCTTGACCAACATCCAGTGGCTCGGAAAGATGAGTTCTGATGGACTGGGCTCCAGCAGCATCAAGCAAGAGATGGAGGAAAAGGAAAATCGTCACCTGGAGCAGAGTCAGGTAAAGGTGACTTCTCACTAGGGGAGTCAGGGCCAGTGCAGGGAATTTCTAAGAAGGGAAATGGCCCCAGTGACCTGTGGAGCAGAATTTCCAAGTTCTGGTATTAGCACTTCACTTAGTGCGATTCTGCGTAACGTTTGAGCTACCTTTCTGCCTGGGATCTTTTTTGCCCCATCTGTGAAATTTCCTCGAGGGCTCCTGGCTCATTCGGTATTCCATGAGCACTAACTTTAGTACTCTGCCCTTGGCAGGTACTCAGGGAATGATGAAGAGGTCTTCGTTGGGAAAGCCACTTGAGCCTGAAAGAGGCAGCCTAACAGTATGAAAGGTTAGAGCATAAGACAGAGTACAAGGTAGTTCTATTAGAAGATACATTAATAGCAAATAAAGTGAGTTAGGTGCGAATGTTAAATACTTCCCCGGTAATCAAACTTGATTTGACCCATCTATGTGGCCTGGGGTTGTTTTCACTATTGCCATATTGTTGCATAGACCCTTAAATCAGTCATTGAGCAGCCTTTAAAAAGTGAAAATTTACATGGATGTGTGCATAAGTAAAACTTAAAAGACTTGTGTACTTTCTGAAGTTAGAGCTCAGTTTTTAAAATTTTTTATGTATTTTTTTAAAAGATTGATTTATTCCAGAGAGAGAGAGAGAGAGAGAGAGTAAATGAGCAGAGGGGTGGGGGACAGAGAAAGAGAGAGAATCTCAAGCCGATTCCAAGCTGAGTACAGAGCCCAACCCAGAGCTTGATTCCCACGACCCTGAGATCATGACCTGAGCTGAAACCAAGAGTCAGAGGCTCAGCTGACTGAGCCACCCAGGCAGCCCAGAGCTCAGTTTTTTCAAATGTGACTGATCAGCTCTTTGCCTGAGACTTAGCCAGTTGTATGTTTTGCAGACATTTGTCTGTCCTATACTCTTGAGAGTATCTGTCTCATACAAACTCTGAAAAGAGGTGGGTTTATTCACATCACATCAGTAGTAGAAAGCAGACGAAGACACTGGTCTCTTGACTCTGAAAAATGAGTATGGTTTTAGGATAACATCAATGCTTTCCTAATGTACACCCAAACT